CGCGCACCACGCACATCGCACACGCACATGCACACGCGCACGCACACACACACACGCGCACACGAACACGCACACGCACACGCATGCACACACACAACCACACGCACACCCCTCTACACACATGTTCACACATACCCACGCACACACGCGCACGCACACACACGCACGCACACGCACGCACACACACAAACGCGCACGCGCACGCACGCACACACACACGCACACGCGCACACGCACACGCACACGCACACGCACACGTATACACGCACGCGCACGCGTTTGCCCACGCACACGCGCACACGCACGCACACGCACACGCGCGCGCGCACGCGACCGCGCACGCGCACGCACGCTCACGCACGCACGCGCGCGCGCGCACGGACACGCACGCACACCCACGCGCACGCGCACACGAACGCGCACGCGCGCGCACATGCACGCGCACACGCACACGCACACGCACGCGCACACGCGCACACGCACACGCACACGCACACGCACACGCACACGCACGCACGCACACACACGCGCACACACGCACACACGCACCGCTCACGCAAAGCCACGCACGCACGCACACAACGCACACACACGCACCCACACAATACACACCACACACCAAACAAAACACACGCGCGCACACGCGCACGCACACGCACGCGCTCGTACACACGCACACGCACACGCACACACACACGCCCACGCACGCGCACACGCACACGCCCATGCACACGCACACGCACACGCACGAATTCACACGTTCACGCGCACGCGCACGCACGCACACGCACACGCACACGCACGCGCCACACGCACACGCACACGCAGACGCACACGCACACGCGCACGCGCACACGTGCACGCACACGCACACGCACGCGCACGCGCACGCGCACACGCGCGCACACACGCACACGCACACGCGCACGCAACCGCGCACGCACACGCACACACGCACACGCACATGCGGACGCGCACGCACACACACACACCCACACGCACCCACACACACACGCACGCACACACACCCACCCACCCACGCATCCACACACACGCACACGCACACGCACACGCACACGCACACGCACGCGCACACGCACACGCACGCGCACACGCGCGCGCACGCGCTCGCGCACGCGCGCGCGCACAAGCACACGCACGCGCGCACGCACGCGCACGCGCACACTCACACGCTTACGCACACGCACACGCACACGCACGCACACACACACACACACGCACACGCGCACGCACACGCACACGCACGCGCACACGTGCACACACGCACGCACGCGCGCACACGCGCGCACACGCACACGCGCGCGCGCGCACGTGCACACGCGTGCACGCGCACGCGCGCACACGCGCGCGCACGCACGCGCACGCGCACGCGCGCGCGCACATGCGCACGCACACGCACGCGCGCACACACACACACGCGCGCACGCGAACACGCACGCGCACACGCATGCGCACAACCATACACACACACCCCCTTTTACACACATGCGCACACAGACTCACGCACGCACGGACACGCACACACGCACGCACACGCACGAGCACACACACAAACACGCACGCGCACACGCGCACGCGCACACGCGCACACGCGCACGCGCACGCACACGTATACACGCACGCGCACGCGTTTGCCCGCGCACACGCGCACACGCGCGCGCACGCGCACGCGCGCGCGCGCCCCGGTGGCGCGACGCACACGCCACGCAAGCCCGCACTCCCCGCACACGCACCCGCACGCACACTACACGCCCACGGGGGCGGCCCCCGCACGCGCCCGCGCACACGCACAGCCGCGCACACGCAGCACGCACACGCACACGCACACGCTCCGCACACAGCTGCACGCGCACCTCCGGCGCATTCGCACGCAGCGCCACAAAGCACACAAACGACACACGCACACAGTACACGCACCACGACAAACGCACGCACGCCCACACACGCACATGCGCACGCACACGCACACCACGCACGCGCACCACGACACGCAGCCGCACACGCACACCGCCGCATGCGCCACGCGTGCGCGACACACGCGCACGCAACATATGCACACGCACGCACCGCGCACGCGCACACGCAACCGCAGACGCACACGCGCACGCAAACGCACTCGACACGCCACGCGCACCGCGCACGCGTCGCGCACGCGCAACGCGCACGCGCACGCGCACTCGCACGCCGCGGTGCGCGCGCGCGCTCGCGCTCGCACACATGCACCGCACAGGACACGCCCGCGCACACGCACACACACGCGCACGCGCACGCGCACGCGCCCCCCCCCGGCACACGGCACACCACAAGGACACACGCGCACCCACACGCCCACACACCCCACGCGCGCGCGCCCTCGGGCACGCGCACGCGCACGCGCACGCGCACGCGCGCGCGCACGCGCACGCGCACGCGCACGCGCACGCGCAGACGCACGCGCACGCGCACGCGCACGCGCCACGCGCACGCGCACGCGCAGGCGCAGGCGCAGGCGCACGCGCACGCGCACGTACACGCACATGCACACGCACACGCACACACGCACACGCATGCGCACCCGCGCCCGCGCCCACGCGCCCACGCGCACACGCGCACACGCGCGCGCGCGCACGCGCACACGCGCACACGCGCACGCGCGCGCGCACACGCGCACGCGCACACGCTTACACGCACACGCACACGCACACACACGCGCACGCGCACGCGCACGCGCACGCGCTCGCGCTCGTGCACGCGCGCGCGCACAAGCGCACGCGCACGCGCACGCGCACGCGCATGCACCACGCGCACACGCACATGCAACGCGCATCACGCCCGCACTCGCACGCACCGCACACAAACGCACACGAACGCAACACACGTACACACGCACACACGCACACACGCACACACGCACACACACAGAGTCACGCACACGTGCACACGCACACACGCACACGCACACGCACACACGCACACGCACGCACACGCACACGCAGACGCACACGCACACGCACGCAGAGCCACGCACACACGCACTCACGCAGAGTCTCGCACACACGCACACACGCACACACGCACACGCACACACGCACACACGCACACACGCACGCGCGCGCACACGTGCACACGCGCGCACGCGCACGCGCACGCGCACGCGCACGCGCACGCGCGCGTGCACGCACGCATGCACGCACGCACGCACTCTCGCTCGCACGCACGCACGCACGCACGCGAGCACCATCCACAAGAGTCCTTCGAGTTTCTCTCAGCCTACACATCAAAAGTGCGTGGTCTGGGCCGCCAGGAGGAGGAGGAAGAGGAGGAGGAGGAGGAGGAGGACGGGGAGGAGGAGGAGGAGAACGCCCCTGCCTCACTCTGGGCCCCCCGCCCCCTTCCTAGATCAGATTCCGGCCGCGTCCACAGCCGAACGTGCGAAGATCTTGGCTTGGGAGGGGGGGGGCGGTTTTGCGGCGTTGGGTGGGGGGAGGGGTACACCCCTCTCCAAGGCGGGGGCATGGGCGGAATAACACGCTCTCCAAACTACTGTCGCCGAGGTGGGCTGGTGTGATTCTGCGCAACGGGAAGAGATGTTGGGAGGAGTCTCGTGCCAGACGCGGCGCGAACACACCTGGCTTGTCCCTCGCCCATCGCCCCTCGTCGCTTTCTCCCTCTCTCTCTCTCTTTCCCTCCCCTCCCTCCCTCCCCCTCTCCTTCCCTCTCCCTCCTTACCTCCTCTCCTTACCTCCCCTCCTCTGCTCCTCCTTCCCCTCCTCCATCCTCTCCCCTCCCTCCCCTCCCCCCCTGCCCCGTCCCCCCTCCGATCCCGTTCTCCTTTGCCTCTCTCTCCCCTCCGCTCCCTCTCCTCATCCTCCCCACCCCTCCCCTGGCCGCCCCTCCTCCCCCCCTCCGCCCTCCTCTTCTCCTCCTTCCTCTCCTCCTCCTCCTCTTTCTCCCTCCTCCTCCGCCTCTTTCTTTCTCCTCCGCCGCCTCCTCCTCCCCCCCCAGCCTGGTCCTCATACCTCTCCTCCCCTCTCCATCCCTCTCCTCCGCTCGCTCGTACTCCATAGTCTAATTCTCCTACCCACCACCGATATCACCCTCTCCTTCCCTTGCCCCTTGCCAGCGGCGTGGCCCTCCCTCGACACAACAGGCTCAGCCCGGCAGTAAGCCCAAAACCCACACTGTGTACTTGCCAGCACCGGACACACGTCAGTCCCTCTCCTGCCCAACTCGGGGGAGCAAATCCACAAGCCGAGATGGCTTTGTACAACGATGATAAGGCCCCGAAGCAGCCAGCCTCTTTTTGAAATGGTGCGTGGAGTATCACAATTTGTGTGTTTCCCCAGGGCGCCGTGGGCGCAGCTTTCGTCTCCCTTGCACACATGCACAGCGCTACCTCCAAGGACCGATGCAGCGCACCCACTCGCAAACATGTGTAATCAGTATCGGATGCTTTATTGGGGCCTCTCCCTATTGGCCGACCACGTCGGTGCATTGGTCTTTGCCTCCAGTAGGACAAGGCCATGCACCGTTGCGGTTCGGAGGTTTTCTGTGCGCAGGGTGACCGAATGTCGGCCGATGGAAACCTCCCGCCTATTCGGTAGGGGGGGGACGAGAAGGAGGAGGATGAGGAGGAACAGGAGGAGGAGTAGGAGGAGGAGGAGGAAGAGGAGGAGGAGCAGGATGAGGAGGAGGAGGAAGAGGAGGGGGAGGAGGAGTAGCAGCAGGAGGAGGAGGAGGAGGAGCTGAGGAGGAGGAGGAGGAGAGAAGGCGGACTGAGGATGAGAGAGGCGTGAGGAGGAGGAGGAGGAAGGAGAGCTGAGGAGGAGAGGAGGAGGAGGAGGAGGAGCTAGGAGGAGGAGAAGGAGAGGATGAGGAGGAGATGAGGAGGAGGAGGAGGAGTCCTTAGATGGAAACCTCCCGCCTACTCGGGAGGTGTGGTCCAGAGGCGCTGCGCGGCCGCGGGCGCGCGCCCGGGTGGGCCGGCCGGCCTGGGGCAGGTACGGCGGCCAGGGCGGCGGCTACCAGAGCGGCCAGCGGAGCGGCGGGGGCAGCTCTGGGGGGCGAGCCGCCCCCCCCCTGGGCGGCGGGGCTGCCCGAGGAGGAGGATGAGGAGGAGGACGAGGAGGAGGAGGACGAGAACACAGCTTCACGCTCAGGTTGGTCCAACGTAGAAGGAGGAGGACGAATCGGATAAACAATAGTAGCATTACGAATAGCAAGCATGCTTATGCTCATTTTACTGATCATACTATTACTAGAATCAGTATGACGAGTCCGATTACGTCTAGGAAGGTCAATGATACTAGCCATACAAATGCTGCGGTTACTAGCAATAATGATACTATTGGTGTTTGAATGAATTATTCGATGAGTAGGAATGATACCGTAGCGCCCCGCAATTGCGGATAAGAATGAGGGGGCGGGCGCGGGCGACGCGGGCGTCGAGCCGGCGGACCTCGTGGCCCTCACCTTCCCTGTCGGTGGCGCCCTCCTCCTCCACCTCCTCCTCTTCCTCCTTTTCCTTCTCCTCCTCCTCCTCCTCCTCCTCCTCCTTCTCCTCCTCTTCCTCCCCCATCCCGATCCTCCCCCCTCCTTTCCGTCGTCGTCGTCCTCCTCCTCCTCCTCTCCCTCCTCCTCCCTCCTTTCTCGTCGTCTCCCTCCGTCCCCCCCTCCTTTTCCTCCTCGCCGTCGTCCTCGGCCTCCGAAGTTTTGGCTTGTTCAGGGAACGTAGTTTGGGTCGCGGGTGGGTCGCGGGCTCTCCACCTCCTCCACCTGGAAGAAATTCAACAACAGCCCGCCGCAGGCGCCGAAAATTCTGATTTGTACACTGAATGCGGTTTGGGTCGCGGGTGGATCGCAGGTTCTCCACTTGGAACGAATCCGCAAGAAGCCCGCCCCAGGCGCCGAAAATTTTGGGCGGGTCGCGGGGTGGGTCGCGGGGTGGGTCGCGGGTGGGTCGCGGGTGGGTCGCGGTGGATCGCGGGTGGGTCGCGGGAGGGTCACGGGTGGGTCGCGGGGTGGGTCGCGGGTGGGTCTCGGGGTGGGTCGCCGGTGGGTCGCGGGTGGGTCGCCGAAAGAAAAACCCGGGAAGAAGGCGCCCTAAGTTTGGCTCAGGCATGGGTACATAAGTGTGATTCCGCGGTGGGTCACGTTCTGCAGACTCCAACTGAGAGGAAGTTCAAAAACAGCCCGCCCAGGCGCCGAAATTTGTAGTTTGTACCCTGAACGCGGTTTGGGTCGCGGGTGGGTCGCAGGTTCTCCACCTGGAACGAATGCAAAAGAAACCCGCCGTAGGCGCCGAAAATTTTTGGTAGGTCGCGGGGTGTGTCGCGGGTGGGTCGCGGGTGGGTCGCGGTGGGTCGCGGGTGGGTCGCGGGTGGGTCGCCGGGGGGGTCTCAGGATGGGTCGCGGGCGGGTCGCGGGTGGGTCGCGGGTGGGTCGCGGGTGGGTCGCGGGGTGGGTCGCGGGTGGGTCGCGCGGTTCGGGTGGACGCGGGTGGTCGCGGCGGGTTGCGGGGGGGTCGCGGGTGGGTCGCGGGTGGGTCGCAGGGTGGTTTCGCGGGTGGGTCGCGGTGGGTCGCGGGTGGGTCGCGGTGCCGCGGGCGGTGGACGACGACAACAATAAACAACAAACAACAAACAGCAAACAAACAACAAGCAACACACAACAAACAACAAATAACAACAACAATAATAATCCGCATCGCGGAATTCCACTTCAATCACGCATCCAGGGACAGTGAATGACCGTTCGGTTCAGCCCCTCACTCTGACGATTGATAGTACGGGTAAGAATGCGATTCGTGATAACGATAATGATAATATTCCAGAAGGCAACTAATATTATGACGAATACTACTACTGATCAGACTATTCATAATAAGAAGGCTTCTAATACAAACAACACTAATAGTACCGCTACTAATAAACGCGACTCGTAGTAATACTAATGCGACTAATAATCATACTGCTAGATTTTTTCAACAATCACACCAGTAGCAATACTACCAACAATAACATTCGTAATACTACTACTAATCATGCGACTGATTTTTTACTACCACTACTACTACTACTACTACTACGACTACGACTACTACTATTTATATACAGAGTCACATTAAGATGAAGACGTATTAAACTATAAGGCGACGGATAAACTAATATGAAGGTTAATGAGCATGCGACGAAGAGGATGAGGTGGAGGAAGAGCAGGTGGAGGGAGAAGGAGGAGGAGGACCTGGAACACGAGGCGGAGGAGGAAGAGGAGGAGGAGGATGAGGATAACCAGTGTAAGCTCGAGAGTCGTCAACGATGTTAGCATAAACCCTCCCTCCAAGCTCCCTCTTCATAGGTCCCTACAACAGTTCATTTCCATTGAAGGAACTGCCTCGTTGGAAGACAACCGTTTGAAGACCCTGAAGCATGCCAAAACATTGCTCTCGGGATTCCAACGCCACGGATCAACCTGACTGTTTGACGATCTTGAACCGTGCCACAACGTCATTCTTGGGACTTCAACACCGCGAATGAACGTATTTGTTGCTCCCTCATAATCCAGAATCCTTCCAAACACCGTTTCTGGTATTTTGATCATGGAAACCCGCAGAACTCTTTCAACTTTGATTAACGAATGTGCGCGGCGCTAAGGCGGGAACCACATTTCGAAAAGGAACCGCCCTCAATCCGTGAAGCTCTTGCAGAACTTCAATCCGAATGTGCGCGGCGCTCAGGCGATAACCACATTTTGAAAACGGTGTCCTTTCAATCCGTGAAGCTCTTGCAAGTCTTGACGCTTCGCGTATCCCCACTAGTCCATTAACGATCAGCAGGGAAGTTGTTAAATCAGGGACGGCTGGAAGCATGCAGTTGCGCGGCCTTCTTCCTAAAACATACGGATCACACATAGCTTCCCGCATTGACGTTTAAGATGAAAACCGGTGCCAGATACGACGTGGTGTTCCCTGTGGTAAGCGTCTCTAGCGCAGGTGGCTGTATCCATGGTCCACGAGAAGCAAGGATAACATATAGCTTTCCGCAGCGAAATTTAAGATGGAAGCCAGTGCAAGATACAAAGGGGTGTTTCCTGTGGTAAGCGTCCCTAGCGCAGGCGACTGTATCTATCATTCGTCGCCCTTGTCGCACAGTCGGGAGTCGCATCCCCACATGTATCCTTGATCTCTGCCGCCGCACCGAAGTCTATCTTGAACTCGCGTGCGGCTGCTGGTGATGCCCTTTTGGAGCCATCTTGGAGCAAGTGGTGCTGCTGGTGCTGGTGATGCCTGGGGCCACCTTGGGGGTACGAGGAGGAGGAGTAGGAGGAGGAGGAGGAACACCAGAAAAGGAGGAAGAGCAGGAGGAGGAGGAGGAGGAGGAGGAGCAGGAGGAACGCTGCGCGAGGAGGATGGACTGAGGCCCGACCCCGTCAGATTTGAGTCCGTCGTATAATCGGATTTTCTATTCTATGGGGGCCCGAGAGGTTCTTGCGAGAGGTTCTTGGGGAACTCTTGGGGCCATCGTACGGGCTCTCTCGGGCTCCCCGTGGGGCTCTCTTGGGGCTCTCTTGGGGGTCTCTTGGGGCTCTCTTGAGGCTTTCTTGGGGCTCATTTGGGGAGTCTTGGGGGCCTCTTGGGGCTCTTTTGCGGGGTCTGGGAGGCCTCTAGGGGTCATTTTGGACCCCTTCGCTCCAAAAGAAGGGGGTCTCAAATTTATCTCCCCCCCCCACCCCTTCGGAGGCCCCAAAGGGGCGTCTTGGGACCCTCTTGGACCGCTCTTAGGGCGCTCTTGGGCGCTCTTGGGGCCGTCTTGGGGCCCTCTTGGGCCTCGGGGCCCTCTTGGGCCTCTCTTGGGGCTATGTTGGGCCATTGTGGGGCCATCTTGACGCCTCAAGAGCCCATTGGAAGCGAAACAGCGAAAAAGGCAAGACGCATTGATTCTCGTTAGGTGTTGAACCCATCTTGGCCTCTTTGGGGGGTCCTCGGGGGGCTCGGAGGGCACTTGAAACCGTCTTCGGGCCGTCTTGAGGCCTCTTGGATGCGTGTTGGAGGCTACCTTGAGCCGTCTTGAGGTATCTTGGGAGATCTTGGAGGCCATCTTGGGCTAGTTAAAGCCCTCTTGAAGCTATCTTCGGCCATCTTGGACACTCCACCCCCTCGCGGGGAGCCCGTTCAGACCCAGGGAGGGCGGGGGAGGTAAACCTCCCGAGCAGGGAACGGAAGGGGACTGGAAAAGGAGACGTTTTAGACACATGCGCCCATAGTTTTCTGTATATATAAAGCGAATATGCGTGGCGCTAAGGCGAGAGCCACATTTTGAAGAAGGAGCCGCTTGCACTCCGTGGACGTGCTGCACATGTTTGAAACGAACGTGCGCGGCGCCAAGGCGAGAGTCACATTTTGAACACGTGTTCCCCTCAATCTGTGAAGCTGCTGCAATTCTTAAAAACTGAACGCGGTGCTGGCAATTTTGAATCAGGCGAAACGCCCATCCCGCCCTAAAAACTGGCCCCGGGGTGCGACGGGGCGAAGTTATTTATAAGGCAGAGAAATGAATGGGGAGGGGGGCGGGGAGGATGAGGAGGAGAGGATAGGAGGGAGGAGAGGAGGAGGAAGGAGGAGGAGGAGGAGGAAAGGAGAGAGGAGGAGGGGAGGAGGAGGAGAGAGGAGGAGAGGAGAGGAGAGGGAGTAGGGGAGGAGGAGAGGAGGAGGAGAGGAGGATGAGGAGGAGGAGGATGAACGAGAGGAGGAGGAGGAGGAGGAGGAGGAGGAGGAGAGGAGGAGGAGGAGAGGAGGAGGAGAGAGAGGAGGAGGAGAGGGGAGGGGAGGGGAGGGGGAGGGGGAGGGGGAGGGGAGGGGAGGAGGATGAGAAGGAGGAGGAGGAGGAGGAGGGTAGGAGGAGTGATGAGGAGGAGGAGGAGGAGGAAGGAGAGGAGGAGGAAGAAAAAAAAAAAAAAGGAGGAGGAGGAGGAGGAGGAGGAGGAAGGAGAGAGGAGAGAGGAGGAGGAGGAGGAGGGGAGGAGAGAGAGGAGGAGGAGGAGGAGAGGAGGAGGAGGAGGAGGAGGGGAGGGGAGGGAAGAAGATGAGGAGGAGGAGGAGGAGGAGAGCGGGGGAGGGAGGGGGAGGGGAGTAGGATAATAGGATGAGAGGAGGAGGATGACGGGACGGGGGAGGGGGAGAGGAAGGGGGGCGGAGAGAGGGGAGAGAAGGAGGAGGAGGAGGAGGAGTGGTGGAGGAGGAGGAATAGAGGAGCAGGAGCAGGAGGAGGAGGAGGACGAGGAGGAGGAGGCGGAGGAGGAGGAGGAGGAGGAGAGGAGGAGGTGAGGTGGAGGTTGCAGAGGTGTTGGATGAGGAGAGAATGAGAGGAGGAGGAGGAGGAGGAAGGAGGAGGGGGACGATGTTGAGGAATGGAGGAGGATAAGAGGAGGAGGGTGAGGAGGCAGAGAGGAGGAGGAACAGAGAGAAGATTAGGAGGAAGGAGAATAGGAGCAGGGAGGGAGGGAGGGAGGAGGAGGAGGAGACGGAGGAGCAGGAGCAGGCGGAGGAGGAGGACGAGGTGGAGGAGGAGGAGGAAGAGGAAGAACGGATGATGATGAGGAGGAGGATGAGCAGGAGGAGGATGAGGAGGCGGAGGAGGAGGAGGAGGAGGAGGAGGAGGAGGAGGAGGAGGAGGAGCGAGGAGGAGCGAGGAGGAGGAGGAAGACGGGGAGTAGGAGGAGCATGAGGAGGGAGAGGAGGAAGATGATGATGAGGAGGAGGAGGAACAGCACGAAGAGGAGGAGGTACTGACGGTGAGGGGGATGCTATTAGGTGAAAGGGATAGTTATGGTGATGACCGTGCTGATCTTGGTTATGTGGCTGCCGTTGACGGGGAATTATGACAATGATTGTGATGGTGCTGTTGCTGACGCTGATGATGGTTCTGGTGGTGCTGGTAACGGTGATGATGCTGGTGACGATGGCCATGATGTAGACGACGAGGGTAATTATGGGGACGATGATGCTGATGATGATGCTGCTGATGATGATGATGCTGATTACCCTGATGCAGATGAGGATGATGCGGATGATGCTGATGATGCTGAGTATCATTATTATTCTGATCATGATGCTGGTAATGCTGATGATGCTGCTGCTGATTGTGAGGGTGATCATGCGTTGATGGTGGCGGCGTTGATGATGATGACGCTGACGCTGATGCTGATGCTGATGATGACAATGATGCTGATGCTGATGATGATGCTGATGATGTTGATTGTCATGGTGGTGGTGATGCTGATGGTGACGGTGATGGTGATGATGCCGATGTCGATGCTATTGACCATGGTGAGGGTGTCGATGCATATTTTTAGCAGTATGAGTGTGAGAATGAGGATCAGTACGTTGATGATGATGGTGACGATGATGATGATGATGATGATGATGATGATGATGATGCTGATGATGATGCTGATGATGATGATGATGATGACGTTGATACTGATCATGTTTATGCTGTTGTTGCAGCTGATGCTGATGCTGCTGATGCTGCGCCTGATTATGATGCTGATGCTGCTGATAAGGGTGATACTGATGCTGCTGCTGATGCTGCTGGTGATGGTGTTTGTGCTGATGGTGATGATGGTGATGATGGTGATGATGGCTGGTGATGATGATGATGATGATGATGATGATGATGATGATGATGATGATGATGATGATGATGCTGTTGCTGTTGCTGCTGCTGCTGATGATGAAGTTGATGTTGATGATGATGATGATGATGATGATGATGATGATGATGATGGTGCTGATGATGCACACGCTGCTGCTGATGACGACGACGAGCATGGTCGAGGTGTTGGTCAGGAGGGTGCTCCGGCGTTGAGGATTCGGAGCACACGCGACAGCAGGAACCATCAGGTCTGTCGAGCTCGAGGGTTGTCGAATTGTTCTGCAAGGGAGGGAGCTAAGCGATGATCGGAACGGCTGCGTTGTAGGATGAGACTGGGCAGGGACTATGGCAGATGGCGGAAAGAGGTGGATGAGGCGTAGGTTCTGGAGGACGCGGAGGAGAGCAGATGCAGGAGGAGGGGGATGCGAATCAGGAACAGGAGCAGGTAGGAGCAGGTGCAGGAGCAGGTAGAGGAGGTGAAGGCGACTGTGAATGCGGGACCTTAGCACGAGGAGATGTAGGATGAGGATGACGGTAGTGGTGATGATGATGATGATGATGATCTTGATTCTGATGATAATGGGGAGGTGGACAAGGAGTCGCATGAGATTATGATGATGGTTCTGGTGATGCTGATGATGCTGATGTACTGATGCTGATGATGTTGATGACGCTGATGCTGATGACGATGATGCTGATGGTCATGATTATGATGCTGATGATGATACTGCTGATGCTGATGCTGATGGTGCTGGTGAACGTGGTAGTGATGGTCATGATGCTGCTGCTGCTGCTGATGATGATGATGCTGGTAGTGGTGGATTTTTTCATGATGCTGAGCATGGTGATTGTGATGGTGATGCTGCTGATGATGATGAGGAGGCGGAGAAGGAGTCGCAGGAGATGCTGACGATGCTGGTGATGATGCTGACGATGCTGATTGTACTGATGATAATAATGGTGATGATGATGCTGATGCTGATGATGCTGATGCTGATACTGATGCTGATTACGATGTTGATGATGCTGATGCTGATGTTGTTGGTGATGGTGGTTGTGGTAGTGATGGTCATGAATATCCTGCTGCTGATGGTGATGATGATGGTAGTGGTGTATGTGCTGATGATGATGAGAATGGTGATTGTGATTGTGATGATGCTGATGATGCGGAGGAGGCGCTGGATGCTGCAAATGCTGATGATGCCGATGATGATGCTGATGATGATGATGGTGGTGGTGATGATGAGGATGATGACGATGATGATGATGATGATGATTCTGATGACGATGGTTATGATGCTGATGATGATGCTGATGATGCTGCTGCCGATAATGAAGATAATGCTGATGCAGACGATGCTGCTGCTGATGATGATGAGGATGTTGTAAGATGACGACGATGATGACATGATGATGATGATGATGATGATGATGATGATGTTGATGCTGATGCTGATGGTGCTGATAATGCTTTTGATGACGTTGATGATGCTGCTGATCATGATGATGATGATGATTATGATGATGATGATGATGATGATGCCGATGATGATGATGATGATGGGGAGGAGGAGGATGAGGAGAAGGAAGATGATGATTATGGTGATGCTGATGCTGCTGATGATGATGATGACGGTGATGCTGTGCTGCTGCTGGCTGCTGCTGCTGATGATGATGCTGATGATGATGATGATGATGATTATGCTGATGATGATGATGATGATGATGATGGTGATGGTGATGGTGATGGTGATGATGATGATGATGATGATGATGATGATGATGATGATGATGATGATGATGATGATGTTGATGATGATGTTGATGTTGATGTTGATGATGATGATGATGATGATGATGATGATGATGATGATGATGATGATGATGATGAGATGATGATGATGATGATGATGATGATGATGATGATGATGATGATGATGATGATGATGATGATGTGATGATGATGATGATGATGATGATGATGATGATGATGATGATGATGATGATGATGATGATGATGATGATGATGATGATGATGATGATGATGATGATGATGATGATGATGATGATGATGATGATGATGATGATGATGATGATGATGATGATGATGATGATGATGATGATGATGATGTCGAGGAGGAGGAGGAGGAGGAGGAGGAGGAGGAGGAGGAGGAGGAAGAGGCGGAACAGGAGGATCGTGGTTACGACGACCAGAAGGAGGACCACGAGTAGGAAGAGAAGTGAGGAGGACCAGGCGGCTGAATAGGGGGCAAGAGGACGGGGAGGAACTGGACTAGCCACTCGTCGTGGAAGCGACGGTGCTGTCTTCCTCCAGAGGCGCGAGGGTGAATGTGCCACTGGCGTGCGGCAACGGCAGCCTTCCTCCGGCAGCGGTAGCCGCGGCAGCAGCAGCTGCACCAGAGCTCGCGTGAGCACGTCTTTCTCCGGCAGCGGCGGCGGCAGAGGCAAAGCAAGGCAGAGCAGCGAATGGCGGGAGAGAAGAGCGGCGCAGCGGCGCAGCGGACAAGCGCCGTACGCTGCGATGCCGGCGCAGGTACGGCGGCGACCGCGGCGGCAGCTCCAGGACAGCTGGCTGGCCGATGCGTCCCCCGTCGGGCTGGAAGGGAGCCATGTGGGGTGGATCCCTTTCTGCACCTCGTCGTGCCAGTAAGCTCGTCGTCGTCGTCGTCCTCCTCCTCCTCCTCCTCATTCTCTTCCTCCTCGTGGGAGGGGGGAAGGCGAAGAAGAAACAGCTCTTACTGCACGAACATACAAAACTCGCAGCTCCGCGCGGATTTCTTGGATCGGCGATGGACCCCCCTTCCCCAGCGCGCGAAGCGCGCCAATGGCGGCGCCAGAGGCGCCGCCAGGGAGGTCCAGCGCAATCCGAAGAAGTCTGAGCGGGGATCCCATTTTCTTATGGTCTTACAGAAATAGCTTTTTCTTAGACTTTCCCCCTCCCACGAGGGGGGAGAAGAAGGAGGAGGAGGACGAGGAGGAGGAAGAGGATGAGGAGGAAGAGGAGGAGGAGGAGGACGAGGAGGAGGAGGAGGAGCAGGAGGAGGAGGACGAGGAGGAGGAGGAGGAGGAGGAGGAGGAGGAGGAGGAGGAGCAGCAATGGCACGACGAGGTGGGGGAAGAGGATGACGACGACGAGGAGCTCCGAGATGTTCTAGGTTTGGTTGCTCTGTTTGTGGTTCTTCGCGGCAGGGGGCGTGTCGGGTGGCATCCAGGCGGGAGGGGACGGCGTTCGAGGCCTTCGGGCTTCCTCGGCGCGCGGCAGGGGCGAGCGGAGGGGAGGGGCAGGGAGGGGGAGCGTTCTGGCGCTCACAGGCCCAAAGCAGGGCTCATTTCGATTCCTCGGGTTCTATTCGATTCGGTTTCGAGGGCCTCCGATTCCGTTTCCGATTCGGCCTTGGATTCCGAGGTGGATTCGGATGTCTCAGTGGAGGCCTATTGGCCCGCCAGTTCCTGCCGATTCGACTTCTCCCGACTTGAGGCTGCCGATTTTCGCTGATCCGTTTAATTTCGATCGCCGATCCGACTTCTCAATTCGATTCTGGGCTTTCTTGCCTGGACCCCAAGGGGGAGCATGGGGAGGAGGGGGAGGAGGAGGAGGAGGAGGACGAGGAGGAGGAGGAGGAGGAGGAGGAGGAGGAGAAGGATAGTGAGGGCGGGAAGGCTGGGGGAGAGAGGGAGGACGTAGGAGAGAGATACGAGGGGAGAAGGATGATAAGTGGCAGGCGGATAACGATGCGTGTTTGTATAGCATTTCACGGCACATCATATCATGGCAGACCATGCCAGATCATTGCATGACATCACATATCATAGCGTGACGTAGCGGTGCCTACTAGATCACAGCACATTATTGACGCGTCGCGCATCCGCACCATCACATCAAAAACCGATTCCCAGGCGAGTCGAGACGATCAGGGAAGTGTAGGAGCAAAGCGGGGGACAGCCATCATCGGTCGAGGGAGGAGACAGGCGATGAGGAGGAGGAGGAGGAGGAGGAGGAGGATGGATGAGGGAGGAGGGAGAAGGATGATGAATTTACGGATGAGGAGGAGCAGAAGGAGGAGGAGGAGGAGAAGGAGGAGGAGGAGGAGGAGGAGGAGGAGGGCGAGCAGAAGAACCAGAGGCTTCTTGGATGCCTCTCGGTGTCTCCCAGGGTATCCCTTCAGCGCCTCGATCCATCTTGGGTCACTTTGGACGCTCTACGCTACTATGCCCCTTGCAGCCTCTTGGGGCCTTTTTGCGGTTCCGAGAAACTCTCATGGCGTCTGGGACGCATCTTGGAAGCACTTTCGGGCCGTTCGCTGGGGCCTTTCGGAGGCGTCTTTTGGAGCTGATTCGCGGCCTTTGGGGGGCTCGTTGGGGCCTCTTGGGTGCCTCGTCCTACCCCTTCCTCCCACTTCCCTCGTCGACCTGGACTGCCAACGTGCAATTGGGCGAGGTCGCGTACCACAGGTCGCGTACCCTCACAGGACATGTCGCGTGCCACAGGTCGCGTACCATGAGACGTAAACCAAGGGAGGAAAAACCACCCAGACCCGACACTTAGCGTTTACTCAACGGCCCTACGCGTTTACTGAGCAGCCCTGCCCTGTTCGATTCCTTCTTTGGGCGCGTTCACTAAACGTCTTCGCGTGTCGGGGTGTTCATTATGGGGGTGGCTTTTTCACCTCTAGGAAAGGTCGCATACCACGGGCCGCGTCCCATCTCCAGGCAGGTCGCGTACCACAGGTCGCGGCCTGCCGTGCGGCGTGCGGCTGGGGGGGCAGCTGGGGGTCCTCTTGGCGTGCCCTGGGCTGTCTTTTAACGTCTTGGGTGCCTCGGGCATCCTCCCGAGGCTTCTTGGGGGTCTCTTGGGGGTCTCCTGGAGGCATCTTGGGTGCCTCTCTGGGCCGTCTCGGCGCCTCTTGGGGCGCTCTTGGGAACTTTTAGGGGCGCTCTTGGAGCCATCTTGGAAGACATCGATCAAACAAGAGGGGCGCGTCAGTCCAGGCCCCCCCTAGGGAGCCCAACCAGTTGCTTTTTGGGGCTTTCGTGTGGCGCTCTTGGGGCCGTCTTGGGGCCGTCTTGGGGCCGTCTTGGAGGCCTCTTGGGCCCCTCTTGGAGCTCTCTGGGCCATCTCGAAGCCATCCTGAGGCCTCGGAAGGCCGTCGGAAGCGACAAGGCGGCCTCTTGGCCTCTTGGCGGCCTCTTGGTGGCCTCCTGGGGAGGCTCCGTGGCCACCTGGAGCCGTCTTGGAGCGTTCTCGGTGCCCCTTGGAGCATCTTGGGAACCATCTTGAAGCATCTTGGGCTATCTTGAGCCACCTTGGAGGTCATTATGGGTTCTCTGAGGCGCTCTTGCAGCCGTCTTGGGCCAGCTTGTGCGCTCCAGCCCCTCGCGAACCCCCCCGTCCAAGTCCAGGGGAGGGGGCAAGGAGGAGGACCCTCCCCGAGGGGGAAGAAGGGGGTTGGAAGAGGAAGCGCTCTGGACCACCTGCGCCCAGAGGGCTGGACATCAAACATATCGTGCAATGGTCTTCGGGTGCACTGCATTGCATAGCTAGCGCTGCGCTGCATGGAGTGGCACAGCATTGCACACCGCTGTATCTTGCGGCGTAGCGTATCAAGCCATCGCATGGCGTTGTACGACATGGCATTGCGTGATATCGCGTACATCTGCCTCACGTAACTCGCCTTGCGTGTTGTAGTGTTGCCCCGCATTCTAGTTCGCTGTGCTAGCTTCTCATGCTCGTGGTGTGATCGTCCAGCACTTTCGAGCAGCTAAGCTGGTGGTATCTGTGTGGGTGACGTCTGGCGTGCGGCGATGGCGCAGACGTCGTGCGAGGGTGA